TAAAACTATTAAATTATATTCATTAATTTTCCAGGTCAAGTATAATTCGCTTGTTTATTTTCTATTTTAAAATACATATAAATATTCATAACTCACCAACTCCTGAAATAATTTTTAAAAAAATCTGTGAAATCAAGAACTTTTCGACATTATGTTCAACAAATTTTAAGGAAATAATATTTTATTAGTTTAGATGTATTTTCTTTTATATTTATCAAAAATAAAACCGAATTCTCTAGCAAACAAGACAAATGTTTGTTAGAGAAATACTAGCTTTAAATGTTTGATTTTTGTGCTAAGTTTCCTACAAAAAATAATGGACGGTAAAAAAGGAATAATTAATATTTTTTCATATAACTTAGCAAATATTCAAAAAATCATGGGACTTGGGAAACAAATATTTTGCATATCTTCTCAGCTTTCCAAAATTGCGTCCTTAAAAATAAAGTCCCTGCGTGTATCGTATGTATATGCTTTCAGACAGCGTATTTTATTTACAAAGCTTTATTTATAGAAATACACACTTAAATAACCACGTCATGAATAATTCAAATAGACCTTCGTGCAATTCATATTTATGGAATTTGATGCTATAATATTGTGACTATTGCAAGCCTTTCCATTAAGAATTACTTAGTGACAATTATGTAATCTTTCTAATAGTTTTGTTTTAAGATTTTATGCTGTCTTTTCTCTTTTTAATTTCCGTCACATTACTTCGTAAACTAAGAAGATTAATGCAATGTGCAATTAATGCGACAGTAAATGCTGCGGTTTCTCATCTGGAAGTTATACTGAATTCTAATGAAAAGAGCTCCTGTTTAAGAAAATGCTCGGCGCTGCTAGGAGTGTACTCCTGCCTGGTTATTAGTTTCAGTGAATATGACAGTTTTTTTATGAAGTAAATTGAAGTTTGGAGAGCTAAAATACTCGTTGGTAACTATAATTACAAACTGATTACCTTGCTTTAGCCCAGCTGTGTTTCTGTTCGGAAGCTAAAGAATATTTTAAGCTTTTGTACTGGACGTTATCTGAAATTAAAACATTGGTTATGGTTCAAATAAACATAACTATTATTTAGTTTTTTGGAAATTATTTTTATTCACACACGGGCGATAATTCGCTGTAACATACAAAGTAACCTTAAACAGGCACATTGGATGAAAGTTAAATTTAAAAAAAATCAAGAATTTAAATTTATAGCTTGAACACTTAGTGCTAAGGTATAAAACTCTGCTCGTCGTGAACCTGTTTAAATGGAAGAAGCATATATGTTGTCTATTGTTATGGTAAAACTGTGTAAAAGGTTTCTTGCCTTCATGATTGACGATTTATATCAGGGTGCTTTAAAAATTTATTTATATGATGTAACAAAACTATCTAGAGGTTATAAGAATCCCTCATTTTAAAAAATGGAAATAATAATTTGACTTAAGACTAATATTTTGAAATAACTGAACTCAGATTGGAAACTGGTACAATTCCTTTGATTTGTATGAAGACAACGAAATCCTACATGTTGCAACCTTATATAACGTATGGAAAAAATTCGTCGTAATTCAGCTGATATCATGGTAATCTTTAATTACTAAAAAGATATGATTCGATAAAATTGTAAGAAAAGTATCTGAAGGATTCAAAAGGCAAATTAGTACATCAATAATTAAAATATCCAAATTAATGTTATGAGAGGTGGTTTTACGAGCCACCTCTTATAACATTATTTGTATAATTTATTCTTTAAAACAGTTGTGAGAAGATGAACTATGCTTTTTAACCTACTTGATTATATTATCTTAATAATAATTTTCGATAGTTAACTTTATGTATTTAATCCAAAAATAGTTATATCTCAAATTTATTTGATGCATAAACATGTCGATGTATCTAGGATTTTAACACCTTATTTAATACTGCCTGCGTATCAAAATGATTGTTCTATTTGCATAAAGGATTTATATGGAAATGATTGTTCCATTTTAAGAAATAATGTTGTTTCCTGCTGTGTCACTAATTTCAAGGCATTTATATATTTTATTAAGTACGATACAACTGTGTGAATATAATATGAAACATTTAGCTTTTATTTTATGTATATTACATGTTATTTAATTTGTTAAATTATTTGTTTCGTCCTGACCGCATTAATTGGTTCTGCGGCTCAGCTAATGAAATCTGGGAGCGTTTCTTGGGGTCAGAGCACTGGCTTTTTCGTGTGTTCTTCTCTTGCAATTCAGGTGTTATGGTACTTGAAACATACTTTACTATATGTTCTTTTTATTCCCTGCATCATTATTAATGGGTCTCCCACTACAACAGCAAAGCTTCTTACTGAAATAAATTTGTTAAGCGGGATCTTGCTGATTATTTTAAAATCTCTTCACGTGCTCTGCGTCGACTACCAGTATGCCATTTTTTTTCCTCAACATTAACGGGTTCTCTGTTATAGCAACGTTGGTTTGTTGCCATTTTCTAGAAAACGTTTTGGACGACACGTCATATTTTTTGTCAATACTCGGTATAATACCCTATTTAGATCTTTCCTTTTTAAAATTTCTCAGCAGCTCCTGTCGAACTTTTATTGTGTTTCTTCCTCAATGCTCTATAATAACAATGAAAATAAATCGACATATGGTATCAGAAATCTGTTTTATTTTATTTTCCTTCTATAAAGAAGGTTTATTGAAAAGCACTCTTCCGCCTCTGTCTCTTTAAAGTGATATAAATTAGACATAAATCGGAAAATTATTTCGATACAGAAGCATAAATTTAGAGATAACTTCTTGTAGAAATTCTAAGAATAACTATGAGCAAATAATTAGAGAAGTCAAGCGTTTGATATGTAAAACAGAAATTTTCATATAAAGTGGAATGTATATTCGAATGAAAAGTAACACAATTTCCAGTTCGTTCAAAAGATCACAGTTTAAGAATTAAGAAATATTTATATTTTTATATATAAGTCACATATCCTCTTAGTGTCGTTTTCATATTTCAAGATCAAATAGTAATAAAATATACACATTAATTAACTAATAAATAAGAAGTTAGATTCTAAATTCATAAATGCATTATAATGGAACTGTGCCATAGAAGTAGACGTATAAAATTTTGTAATTAAAATATTATAATGAATATAGGATTGTACAAACGCATATCATAATTTAGCAAAGATCACAAGCATTTATTAAAATATATTTTGGTATATGTTTATTCCATATATCGTCCTAGTATCCATTTAGGGAATGAAAGCGAAATCGTTCAACCTTTAACAATAATAATAAATTGCTTCCTGGCGGTTATTAAGATCTCATCAATTATTGAAAATATTCTATTGTGACATGGGAAAATAGCTACTGGCATAATAGCGTTTTGAAACATCCAAATAATGAGCGATGACTTACTATTAATTGTTGTTTCAATATACCCAGGTTTCAGATGATCTGAATCGAAAGTGGAGTAGCTTGTTACAAAGGTTAGTAGTCTTCCAAATTTCTCTCCAGAGAGTTAAGAATTACTGGATTAGCCAATCCAATTAATTTTGACATCCACATTTCCACTCAAACACAGAAATAGTGTCGAGGACTTTTAATGGTCCATCATCCTATCATTTCCTAACGCGTCACTTACTTTTATTGCTTTGTGCTCCGATGGAGCATAATAATAGTTAAACAAGCTTGAAGCAGTGATACCCATCGTATTTACTTTACCAATAAGGAAATAGTCCGAAGAGGCTTGTAATAGAAGAGTAATTCTGTGTCCTATCTGATGCCGTGCTTATAAACCGCACATTCGGATTCATGGAACTTGGGTGGAAGAGTTTGTAACATTTAAGCATGCGAATTACATTAACATTGCACGCGTATTAAAATATGCCATTCTCACAGATATGGAGTGAAGCAATTTTAAGTTCGAGTGTTGGTTCTCAAACTTCGGATTTAGATTTAGACGATACATAAAACTAAGATCACTGCTATGAAACATCTAATATAATTACTGATAATTAAATATCTTAAATAATTACGAAAAATGCATTCGCAATAATGTGACAGAGAAATATTCCAACATGGAATTTAAACTAGCCAGAGTTTAGTATTTCTTGACCTTTTTTGTTATGGGATTGTGCTTTTTGAGAGAGCAAATTCTTATCTTCAAGGGACAAAAATATTTCTGCAAAATACTTTTCATGAATAAATGAAAAGAAGCAACTGTATAAAAATGATATGACAATGGATTGAGTTCGGAGACCCTTGTTTACAGATAAGAATGTATGCACTGCGACAACTAATCTGCGAACTACGCTTTTCTAGTCATTTTAGATCGACTGATTATTTTTGTGTTTAAAGAAGAAATGGTTAATAGAACACATGTTAATAGAAGTTTCAGTTATATTTCCTAATTATTTAAATAAATAATACTAAGCAGTAGTATTGTTTGCTTATCTGGTACAGAAATAAGAAACAGAGCGGATTATTAAAAATAAATACTAAGAAAAGGAAAAAATCTATTTTATATTACGTTGCTTATTTACTTACCTACTGAATACAAGTGTACATGCTATACAGTTGTAGAACAAAATCTTTTCGTGCTTATACTTGACTGGGTTTTTAAAAAGTATTTTATACTTGTTTTTAGCTTTGATTGTTCATTGAGTAATGGTTTTACATCCATCTTTCGACCGTGACATTAATAATTCTGAATTGTTGTCCAAATTTTGATTTTTTAAAAAACATTTAGATATTTTATTTCTTGTCAAATGATTTTGATTTTATATACTATATCCAGTATTTTTTACGGGATACCATGCATTAAACTTACTTTGAATTTTAGAATACAAATTCAGATTACTTTCATATTTTTATAACAAATGCAACATTTTAAGGCTATGATATAATTAACTGTATAGTAACGAAATATTTATCTTTGGTACTTATTTTATTCATAAATAAACTGATTTAAGAAAAGAATTAGTTAACTAAGTTTTATTCTTTTATTTTTAGCTTTGCTGTCGGGTACACTGCGGACATTTCAGGTGCATGCTTGTGACGGTAACGAGTTGAAAATCGAATGTTGGCCGAACACCGTCATCAACATCTACTTGGCCCAGTATGGCCGTCAAGTGCCCTCACATCAGCTCTGTCCCCCCGAGGACGTCACGGATGGTGCGCTGTCTATGTTGAATGATACCACGAATTGTTTATCGTCGCATGCTCTTAGGGTAAGGATTTCTTTATCTTTCATCCCCTGCTTAGGGTGCATGAATATTTCGTCTTTCTTGTATTTTCCATGTTTAGATGATGTGAAGTGCATTTATATTAATATTTTTCTTAAACACCTACTTTTGTTAAGTAACATAATTACTTAATGTAACACGCTACTTCTAATTTACAAGTAACTATGATTAATGATGACACAATTTATAGTCTCGTCATTAATCGTTATATTTTTGATTAGCATGGTTATGTATTTCAAGTAATAAAACGCATTACATTGCGGTTATCCGTATCTACTGATAATTTAAAACATTTGAGGCATTAGATTCAGGAAAGAATATATAAAGTCCCCGTAAAACATTTTTAACAATTTAGATTCAAGTTACTTTAAAACACAATTTTCGGAATTAAACTTTCTACATATGCGTTCACTCTACTGCATTTATATTAGGAGATAATATAATCAATATTTCTTCAGAAATATATATATATATGTAAAAGATATTAGTTATGTTGCATGAAATGTCACAGAAATTGAAAACAAACTGTAATCTTTTCTCCATGGAATTTTTACTGAAACGATAAATAGGGGGAAGGATTTACTTTTTTCAAACCTGTCACAGTTGCCAATCTACTTTTTTACTTTTTAAACTATTATTAGTTGTGATTTTTATCGAGATGAAGCTAGATAAAGCCTTCCTGTATAGATTTTGAATCAGAAGTATTCGTAATATGAGACATATCTGTTTTTGTGACCCTTTTAATTTCCTGTAATATAGGTCTGTAAAAATTCTGTAATACCAAACTGCTAATATTAATGTTAATGTAGCTATATAATCTCTTACTATTGAAGAGTAATATATGATTATAAAATTCTTAAGATTTTTTTGAAAAATCTCTATTTACCATTTAATCTCATAGGTTACTGAAATAGTCTTTTATTTAAATGATTATTTACCCACAAAAGACGGCACAGTTTCCATTGCATTTTAATGCTAATTTGTTTTAAGTGGCATATGATGAAATAAATAAAGTTTTTAATATAAAATGTAATGTAACTTAACACTACAGACGTATTTTCGTTTAAATATTTTCATGTGTTAATTTTGTATGTATATTTGGAAGCTATATTATCCATATTATATCTCGAAATTCAATAACTCATTTTTAAAGCGGTATATTTTTTCCTACATTTCCAAATGAAACTTTGAAAGCCTTTAATTATAAATCTAAAAATAAAACAAACAAAATCTATTACCTTTACCTGTTTAATCAAAATAGTTTACAAACTATTTGCAATCTAGAGAATGTGATAACAATTCTTAATCTGTGCATTAATAACAAACAGTGTATATTTTATTACAACAGAAGTTTGAAAAGACCTATTCAAGAAATTATAATTTTTAAATTTTGGACATTCATTCTACTTTTAGTTCTAATCATGATGAAAAGAGAATAATCTGATAGACAGATTATCTTCTCTTTCGTACCGCTAATTTTACAAATACATAGTGTTATTGCATTTATCGTCCATGCATTAAGAGATTTTTCAAACTGTGCTCTGTCGAACGTTCATTTCCGTGAATTTCCTTTAGAGTTTTCACAAACTGAAATCAAAATTCAGAACTATTTTTTTAACAGATTGAACACTAATCTAAATATTGTAAAATAATATTTTTTCCTGCTCTTTTTATTTCTTAAATTAATGTAAAGTAGATATTTTATAAGTGAAATAATGTTACCGATAATGTAGATATATATTTTACACAAAACAGAAAAGTAGCATTTTATAGAATATCTCGAAACTTTATAAAATGCTTGACATTTTGAGTAAGTATGAAATATATCACTTATTTTTATATTATATACATTTTACTTGAGCATGTATGTATACTTACTTGCATATATATTTGTCATTCTATATGATGTCTAAATATTTCTTAGGTTTACTAATGCCTAAGTTTGCTTAGGACATTAGCCAAAGTATTAAAAGGAAATCATAAAAACTCTTCTATCGAAAAGTGATTATATAGAACTGTGGCGAAATTGTTCAAGTTAGTAAAATATTTAAATTGCGTTGCCTTCTAACAAGTATTAAACCCTGTAGTTTGGCAATATACTGTGCATGCAAGAACATACAAATTCGTAAATAAGAATAAAATAAAAAATATTAATTAAATTTAATTCAGTTGTTTATTTTCAGAAACAATTTCTGTTTATTTTCAGAAACAATAATAAGAAACAAATTTATATGTCTCCCGAAGAATAAACTAAATTTTTAAACCACCCAAGGTAAAGTAGATAACAGGAGACAAGATGCCGTAAATGTATAAATCTATATTCTCTTTCACAATGAAAGCAAGCTGCAGCTTCTTCAGCTTTGATAAATAATTTTTTATGTTGAACAATAACATGATCAATACATTAACTTAGGTATTCTAACCTATTTAATATTATAAAAATATAGATGTGGTAATAACCAACATTAACCACTGGAGCAAATTTAAGTCGTGGATTTTAGAGTGTTAACGTTATAATTACCATGCAAAAAAAGGCTCGCAAGAGAAAAGCAGCAGAATTACTTAACTAAAATATCCAAATAAATGGTGAGTGGCTTCATGTATAGTAGCTGCTGTGGAAGCTCCAAATAAATAAAATATGAGTGGCTTCAAATAAATAAATAAATGGTGAGTGGTTCATGTATAGCTGCTGTGGAAGCTCCAAATAAATATCCAAATAAATGGTGAGTGGCTTCATGTATAGTAGCTGCTGTGGAAGCTCCAAATAAATATCCAAATAAATGGTGAGTGGCTTCATGTATAGTAGCTGCTGTGGAAGCTCCAAATAAATATCCAAATAAATGGTGAGTGGCTTCATGTATAGTAGCTGCTGTGGAAGCTCCAAATAAATATCCAAATAAATGGTGAGTGGCTTCATGTATAGTAGCTGCTGTGGAAGCTCCAAATAAATATCCAAATAAATGGTGAGTGGCTTCATGTATAGTAGCTGCTGTGGAAGCTCCAGCAGGGCCATGCTAATATTCTCTATGTTGTGAAAATGTGGAATGCTTAATTAAGCCAATGATGTCGATGACTTTCATAGGAGGGAAATGAAGTTTGATAAGAGTTAGATCATCTTGCGGAACAATCTCTGGCAAGAACCACCTGGGGGACTGTACAGGGCTGGAAGGAAAGTTCATGATCACACCTGGACTAGCACGCCGGCAGTCGAACATGACAGAAATGGGAGAATTGACGTAGTAAAGAAGAATTACAACTGCTGTTACTAATCTCCTCTTCTCATAGCTAACATGTTATTGCTGAAACATGTTAACATAAGCTATTGAACTTCCTTCATAGTGAAGTAGGAAAAATAACTTCACGGCAACACAAACCTTCCAGTAAAAAGGGGAAAACAAAGCTACAGGCAGCAGCTTCTGTTGCCACCTTGCGAAAAGTGGGTAACGTCGGTGTTCCCTGGTTTTAAAAGTTCAAAGTATCACATCTGCTTAGACATGTTAAAAAGGTATGTTTATCCTACTGCATACCAAGAAAACCACACAAACGCAATTCATTTTCTCTTCTAAAAAATAAATCTCTCAATTCTACATCAACCGTATGATAACACCTTTTTTCTCGTAGAGAACCCTCTACGCAGTGGGAGGAGAATGTGAGCTGCTTAGAAGCAGTCAAGCTTTAAAATGTGTCTAACATTGACTATACGAATTCCAGAAACAATCGAATGAAAATGTAATCAAATTTATATAATTCTTAAACTAATTGCCCTACACATGAAATTCCAAGTTCATCCAAAGGTTAAATGTTCCAAAGGTTCATCTAAAGGTCTTCTGCTTTTAAACAACAGTAATACTTAGAACATTAAGACACGCAGCCTCTTTCCTAGGAAAGTCTTGTAGCTAAAGACTACTCTAAGTGACGCTTTAAGATTAAAGAGATTATGTGCTTTCCTATAAAGAAACGAATTAAATAACAATATTTAAAACTTAGAATTCTACTAATTAATTACTTTACAATTTATCCAAAACTGTACAGTAAAATGCACTTTCGGACTATTAAGTACATAGTAAAATGCATTTAAATTTTCCTATTGAATTTGGATAAAAATCATTATTTCAAACAAAACCCAACATAAATTTAGAATAAATTTCAGAACAAAGATAGAAAATCAGATGGCGACTTTTCCACCTGAAATGAGCGTCAAAAGTTAAGTGCCTTGCCATAAGACATTAGAAGCATCATCAGATAGTGTGTTTGCATTGTCATAAAAACTGTATCTCTTGATATAAAGTGGTTGTCTAAAATTTATTACGAGATAAGCAATTCTCCTACCTAAATAAGTAAGAAAAATTAGAAACAGTAATTTTGAACAACGTGAAATCATTGCTTTTCTGATTGTCATGATTAATTTATGTAATGGGATATTAAGGATACGAAAACCTTTTTCGTTTAATAAAGACAAGTATAATGAAATATGTGAGGAATTATTGCCATGCTTTTCTTGTAATCCTGTGCATCTGTTAACACAACGACCTGAATATTCAGATATCCCATGTTCGGCTCCAGGTGAGAGCAGTGTCAAGCATCTCTGACTTCTAAATTCCACCTTTCGTATGCTTCAATATAAGAAGAAAGGGAACTTAATTTTAAATTAAAAAATGTCTTTATATAGTAATAAATAAAAAGTCACATGCTTTATTAAATGCATACACATTATATTGTAAAATCCTAGCTAAACTAGAGATCCTTGAAATCTACAATACTGAAGAACTGTATCGCCACTATTTGCTGAGTTCTAGTAGTGTGTGTGACAGCTCCGGAGAAGGGTTAAATTACCCTTTTTTTCCAACTCAAAGTGAATTAACAGATGGCCCCTCTCGGGCGTACAATAAGCCTCCCCTTGGGGTTTAACTCAAAATATAAAATATATGAAACTAAACTACTGCTAAATAAATTAGATCAGCCGAATCTGCATAGAATCAACTAGC